CCGCCGATACTATAATTTCCAGTCAGATGGAGATTTCCTCTGAACGGCAGTGCCCCGAGGGAACATGGAGCCAATCGGGAAGCTGGGCGGGTTATACGGGTTAGTACGAGTATGCTCCGATACCGCCGATACTATAATTTCCAGTCAGATGGAGATTTCCTCTGAACGGCAGTGCCCCGAGGGAACATGGAGCCAATCGGGAAGCTGGGCGGTAATGACTCTCCGCCTGTCTTCCTGATTGACCGGGAAGCCGGCTCCATGCTGTTGGCCGGCTCCATGTTGATTGGCTGAGAACTCGGCTTCCCGGCCAATCAGCATGGAGCTGACCAAACAGCATGGAGCCGGCTTTCCAGCCAATCAGGAAGCCGGGCGGCAGGTAATCCCTACATAAAAGAGATTTTTTTCAAGTAAACTTTGATTGCATTATCAAAAACAACTCTAATATGTATTCCTATTACAATGCTGATGTTGGGACAGGATAGTATATACTCTGACTTTATAACTCCTTTAATTAAGCCTGCATAAATAATATCAGGTATTTCCTGGCTGCTGGCTGTACTACCTAAAGTCAGTTGCAGCATTCATGGTGATGGTTTGGACTTTTGGGGTAGGTGTGGGGCTAGCAGAATTGATTGTAGGAAAGAATATACAGTGGCTTAGTAGTTGGCTTTTCCTCCGGGTATTTAGGGTTTCTCTCACACGCTGGTAGGTTAATGGGCTTCAGTCTAAATTGGCCCTAGTATGTGTGTGCATTCACGATAGGGACCTTAGATGGTAGGCTCCTTGCGCACAGGTACTGGTGTGAACGAATGGTATGTAAAGCACTGTGTAAATTGAGGGCGCTATGTAAATACCTCTAATAAATAAGCTATAAATAAACACACACATACACACATAAAAATATACACACAATCATAGAATGACTGTCTTCTACCCTAGCCATTCAGTGTCTAAGTGATACCCATCAGCAGTAGTATGATCATTTTCACTAATGGTCGAAGACAAGCTTTCTCTTCATATCTACAGTACACCTGTATAGGCACCGTTAAACATCTGCAAGTCGTACTCCCGCAGAATAAGGGTTCATTCACATGGAACATTCTGGGGTCCCTGTGGCAAGAACCTACGGATTCCTGCAGCAGGAATCCCAGGTGTCCCGATGCGGCTGGTGTAACCATTTAAGAAAATGACTGGATGACAGTGGCCACGTCTGTATGCGGCAGTCCTCATGTACCAATACATGGTTTGGGATAGATGATTGCCACCGTATGCATTATTCTGCATTCAGCGACAATCATTAATTCCAAACCGCATGTAATCATACCATGTACAATTACATGCAGACTGACGCGGACAAATGATGGCTGCTGTCATTAACTTTAATGGGTACATTGGCTGCAGCACAACGAGGGCACCAGCCATTCCTGCCACAGAAATCCATAGCTTCTTGCGGCAGGAATCCCAGAACATGGCATGTTTCCCCTTAGAAGTTCATTACCATGCATAGATATTAATCCTCCTTCAGCATACTGTATATTGGTTGAACCGTATGTAAAATTCTGCATTGCTATGTGGATTCTCACCCAACGTAGCCCAAGAAGTCCATCATAAACCAATGCTCGCTGGGCCACACAAAACCAAGGTTTATGTTATTTGAGTGGAATAATGCGAGCGAGGTGTCGCAGTGATGTCACTTTTTTTTAATTGCTGTCTTTATTTTAGGTTTGTGATTAATTAAAATTGCAGTCATGTTTTAGGCCGACTTGTCTGCTGCAATTCTAGTTAATTACATGTTGTAGGATCAGTATAATATGTTTCCTTCCTATATTTGTCCCTTAAGCCCTGGAAAGATGAGGAATGCAGTATTTTCCCTTGTGTACCTAAGAACCGTCTCTTACAAATAAATCAGCTTTTTAATCCTAATTAAAGGTTTCCCTGTAATGTGGCTGTGTCTGTTAGGTCCCCTCTTATTACTTCTTTACAATCTCGCTGATCCCTGGTAATCCTGCGGCTAAACTGATTGGGGAAGGAAGTGCAGTTAGTACTTTAAGGGAAAATTATGTCTGAGGATTTAACTGAGACTGGGCTGGGTCTTAGACTTGTAGTTGCTTGGGGGGGATTTCCAAGTGCTGTATAAAGCTGTATGTACGAAATGTATGGTTTCTTTAGATTTGGGCATTTAATTGACCTACTTTCAACTGGTCTGGAGAAGTGTAACTATTGTGATGTTTCATTTTCTGAGCCTTTTAATATAATGCATAGCTGATGCGTTAATAAAGCAGTGGAAAAAAAGCAAAGATGGCAATCAAAAGACCATTACCCATAAGAAAAGCTGATGAAATCATGGATGCTGCTCCTTAACGTTTAATAGTTTTAGGTTCATACAGAATCAGCTGCTCCCCTGAGCAATGGCCCTGATATCTTGTTTTAGGGTGGCAGCTTTCCTTTGCAGGGTGCTATGGAGACACCCTTGTGTGTGCTAGTAAGCTGTGTGTGTCTCCACAAACACACAAGGCACCAATCCCCCACATCCTGCTCCTCTCTCTTCCTTCCTTCCTTCCTTCTCCAAGCTAGTAGACTGACCTCTGCTGGAGACTGCTCTGTCCCTTGTGATCTTGTACTGGACAGGAAGTTCAGGGAAGCAGAGCCGAGAAAGTTGGAGCTATTCAGAAACATGATGACTGTGAGTGCTTGGCCAAAAACTTAAAGAAATACTTTGCTGGTCAATGTATATTTACTTGATATGAATTCAAAATGTAATACTACTTTCACCAGCTTAGGGCAGTCAGAACAATTTAGGCAAACTGCTAAATACACGGTTGATATATACCTTAAATGGTAACTGTTTTACTTAGCCCAGGATTTTCAATTCTGTACAACCAGTTTTGAGATCCAGACGCCACTGCCAGATAGTACATCCAGATGCCCCACTGCAGCATGTGCTCACCTCAGTCAAAACACACCCTCAGACACTGGGGAGAGGACCAGTGCTCATGGCAGCAGAGTTCAATTCAAACATGAGTGCTGGGTGTCCTGTGCATGTGAAGGACAGCAGCACTTGGTAATCCTGAAGTTTGCTACTCTAGTTAGGCTTTCCGACTTCTCCTTGTGGCTATAACAGTCTCCACAGTTTGTGTCCATTTAGTGTCCAAGTAATGATATTGGACAGGAAGACCTGGCTTACAATCAGCATTCAAATGTATTCAAATTTATCTTAAAGGTATTCATCAGAGTTGAGCTCAGAGCTCTGTCCTGGTCACTTGAGTTGCTATATACCAGAAATGTTATACTGGTGTTTTTTGGCTGACATGTGGTCCTCTTGCTCCTTCTTTGTGGTCCTTTGTGGTTTGAAAGAGGGTCCAGCTGTTCTCCAGTTTACTAAGGTATACATCTGTATGTATTAATTTAGCTGTGCAATACTTAAAGAAAATATTTATGGCCCTTTCTCTGGTACAGCATGTTGTGAGTTGCAGTTGATATACCAATATGAAACAAATACATATGGAAGCGCACTACTGTACTGTGGACAAGTCTCTCAATTACTGAGTTTGTGGGTGTGGTGTGCATAAGCTCTTCAAAAATAGGGAGAGGAGCCCCGTGAAACATAATCATCAAATACAATCAGCTGAAGAGCGCAACTACCTAAACAAATACTGAGCAGCCTGATGTAACTGGCTGAATGGTTTAGATTACAGTGATAGGTATGTGACTTACAGTTGAGATGTCCTGAATTGGCACCCGGAGTCCCTGGGATCACGTCAGGTCAGCGGTACTGGTCTGTGGAATGCCGGACAAAGAAGTCAAAATTGTCCCCAGGCCGCGTACTCGGCTGGCCAGGCCGAGCCGTGGCAGCTAGAGCAGGAGAGGGAGAACTGCCTGGCGGCTAAAAATACCCACAGAGCAGTGCGTTGCGGTGCCATGTGCGGAGCGACCAATGGGAGGTCCAGTGAATATTGTCAGTCAGTGCTCGTTTGTCTGAGGGAGATGTACTGTACTGTGAAACCCACATGCAAGCTGAATTGGCGGTAGGCAGGCTACGCGTTTCGAGGGTAACCCACTTTGTCAAGCCTTAGAGTTGATATACCAAAGTGCTGTAATATTTTTCTCAAATTAAATAGGTGAAGACCTCCAAAAAATGTAATTTGTCCCCACGAAAATGTATTCCACTCAGTTCGGCCCACTGTTTCATTTAAGGTTGACATGTCTGCTTTACACCAAATTCATCAAACCATTTCCGTAGGAATCTGGCTTTGTGCCCACAGGCACGGTTATGCTGGAACACAAAAGAACCTTTGCCGCAAGGTTGGACTTGCACTAAATTTGCTTTGTATTCTGTAGCATTAGCAGTGCCCTTTACTGGAAGCAGTTGAGCTCAATCATTTGGAGGGATGCCCACTCCACATACTTTTGCCCACTTAGTGTAGGCGTAACAATCGGGTATCCTCAAACTTTTGCCCATATAGTATGTAGTTTGGCAAGAACTCTTACCAATTAGGCTGCCATGTTGCATCTGATTACAAAAGTGGAAATAAAATTTTATGGTGGTCTTTAGGAGTATGCAAAAAAAGCTACTTAGCCGGTCAGTCCTCTGCAGATTTTAGAATTTTAAGTCATAATTGGCAGAAAGGTGCAGGTATATAATTGTATTTGCTGTCACATTTTATACCTGTGTGTTTGCTCATTTATTTTCCCAGCGAAAAACATTGCGAACCTCCTGTGTTTTTCCCCAATAGTAACAGACATGATTAATGACCCCGGACCTATTTGATGTGACCACACGCCGAAAATTTGGATGTAATTGTCTTGCTTCAAAGCAAAGAAACCCGTCAAAGAAAAAGGGTAGCAATACATATACATGTGCAATACTACGATTTACAAAGAATACATTTATATATATATACACACACACCAGCCATAAATCCGCCATAACATTATGACCATCCACCTAATATTGAGTAGGTCCCGCATTTGCCACCAAAACGGCCCTGACCTGACGAAGCATGGACTCCGCTAGACCTCTGAAGGTGTTCTGTGGTATCTGGCAACAAGCTGTCATTAGCAGATCCTTTAAATCCTGTAAGTTTCAAGGTGAGGCCAGCCTTCGCTCCCTATGTGCATCAGTGAGCCTTGGCCATCCATGACCTTGTTGCCTGTTCACCAGTTTTCCTTCCTTGGACCACTTTTATGTAGGTCCTGAACACTGCAGACCGGGAACATCCCACAAGAGCTGCAGTTTTGGAGTTGCTCTGACTGTCGTCTAGCCATCACAATTTGGCCCTTGTCAAAGTCGCTCAAATCCTTACCATTCCAGACATCCCAACTCTCCCGGATGCTTCGGGAGAGTAACACTTCCTCCCGGAAAGGTTTCATCTGCTCGATCGAGCAGATTAAACCTTTCCCTGCGATCGTTTTTTTTTTTTTTCTTCTTTTCTGAAGCCGCGGCCCAACTGTCAGTCAGAATAGAAAAAAAAGGCATACGAATGCATAGCTAGATTCCTATTGGCTATTGCACTTTGCAATAGCAAACTAGCTAATGCACCCGCCTAACCACCCCCTCCGCGGATAGGGGGTGGGGGAAGAGGGCACCTCCCTGAAATGAGAGGGACACCTCCCCGAAATTGCTTCTTTCAGGTTGGGATCCCTGCCATTCTGTCCATTTTTTCTGCTTCCAACACATCAACTTCAGAGACAAAATGTTCACTTGCTGCCTAATATACCCCCACCCCCACTTCCAGGTGCCATTGTAATATACCCCCCCACTTCCAGGTGTCCATTGGTGAGTGTATAAATATATATATATATGTTGGTTGTTGCAAATGTTGATTATTCAAATATCTTTTGTAGAAGGAGGCGGGTGGAAAATCATCAGCTGAACACTGCCTGTAGCCAATCGGCTTCCAGTTGAAGCACACCCGCAGCTGTCAGAATAAAATAGCCTGCCAGGGCAGGTTCCTCTGTCCATGCTGTTCAGCATGGATAGTGGAACCAGTTATAGATTTTTTCTTTCTCGGCCTAGAGGCTTAACTAAATGAATCTAAGTGCATTGCCAGCTTAAGCATTAGGCCCGTGCCATATTACTTCTATGCATTATATGTGTGTGTGTGTAGCTGCTCGCTCTAGCGGCTTTCTCCATTAGGGAGTGCAGTCTGCATCCTTGATTAAAGATAAAATAAATTGCAGGAAATGCCACACAGAGATTACCTTGTGAGAACTGAAATGGTTTTGTCTAATGACCTGCCCACTTTTATGAATCTGCATATGAAATGAAACTGCTTGTAGACTTGTACTGGGTTAGTAGGAATAAAAGAACAAACATTCAGGACACAGTTTGTGTACTTGTAGACTGGAAGCATAGTTAGGGCATGTCATTAAAAAAATCTACTTGCGTTAGTGAAGAGAGAGGCTCCCAATGGAAGAGTGCCACAGACCAGTAATGTGCAGTATCTAATCAGATCTTAGCAGGGTGTCTGCTGTACTCTGCTGAATTCTGATTGGCTGTCACCGGTTTCTCCATTCCACTTTACACTGTAACAAACCCACTTGGCACTTTTCCTAGAGGTGCCAAAGCCTAATTGGGACTTTGCCTCTGTTTGTCTAGTAAAGGAAAGAAGATGAACAGCTTTAAGGATTAGGGATGGTGTTAAGTACAATGTCAATAAAAGATGCCGAGACTTGGCTTTTTTTTTTTTTTTTTTTAGCGTTTCCTGTTTCTGTTATATTAGGGGCCATGCACACTGGGTGGCACCCAGGACTGGAACTACGGGTGTACTGTAGTGTGATATGTCACTGTGCTGAACTAAAATAATTCCGGCAAGAATAAAAAGGTTTTCTTATATTGCAGCTTACTAGTCCTTGATGGAGTGGCTGTATTAGTTTTCTTTTTCCGCAAGTACAGAACATTATTGTTGATCCTGCCAGTAATACAGTGTCCTTGTCACTTCCTGTAAATTGAACTGAAATCATAAACCATGTTCTCTTGTGTAAGCTACTAATTCTCCTGCTCCCTAATTAAATGAAGATGAATAGAGGGAGATACAGTATATTAGTAGCCCAAATCTGCAGGGCAACCTAGAGTAACAACCATGGCTCCCTTGATAGATATAGTGGAGGAGTGAGCGTAGCCCCCCAGGACAGGAAGTGGGCTTTCTTCTTTTTTTAGGATTACCGTGTCATAATAATGGAAAAAGAGCCTGAAAATAAAACTAATGCAGCCAACACATCTAAGGACTGGTAAGCTGCAATATATTAAAGCGGAACTCTAGGGATGATCTTTTTTGCAAACTTGCATTGGTTAGCTTGGCTCGTGTAGGTATCAATATCTGATATCCGGAGGGACACCGGGAATACTAAAAATCACCGTTGTAGTCCACGCTACATACAGTGATAGCCGTGATTTTCCAGGTGCGGCTTCATCGGCTTCCCCTCTGCATTCTGAGCACAGGGAGAGGGAGAGACAGCGCCTTGTATTATATGTATCCGATATACGGAGGGCCGATGGGATGCCGAAAATCACTGTAGTAGTCTGCTCTATATGCAGTGATCAACAAGATTTCCCTCTGCACAGTGAGCATAGGGAATCGCTCACTCTGCACCCCCATACTTCAGAGAATGCCTTGTATTCTACATTTCTGATATCTAGAGGGCTGCCGGGAATGCAGAAAATCACTGTAGTAATACAGCAATAGCAATGATCTTATGGATGTGTCTGCAGTGGGTTCCCGTCTCCAGACTGAGCACAGGGAGGCAATCGCTCTGCACCGCCGCCATTCAGAGAATGCCCTGTATTTTTTTCAATGGCTGTCTTTTTTTAGGCAATGTTGGGAAGAGGGACGGCAATAATCTCCATCTGGTCTAGTCATAGACAAGAGGGAGATATATTTTTTTCATAGAAAAAAAAAATAGAAGGCATTTTCTTAATGGCAGCATTGCCAAGCGAACAGCTCAGTGTGCAGAGGGGAAGCTGCCAGAGCAGCACCCAGAAGATCATGGCTATTCCTATATGTAGTTCTGTAGTCCTTTTCAGCATCCTCAGCAGCTCTCCGGATATCAGATATGTAGTATATAAGGTGTCTTCTAGATGATGGCCATGCTGAGTGAGCGTCTTCCTGTGCCCAGTAAGTAGATGGAGAGCCGCAACCAGAAGACCATGGCTATCGCAGTATGTATTGCTGCAGTGGTTTTCAGCATGCCCAGGGGCCCTCTGAATATCAGATATGTACAATACAAGGCATTCTCTCAATGGCAGCGGTGCTGAGGGAATGTTTCCCTGTGCTTAGAGTGCAAAGGGAAAGCTACTGGAGCTGCAGAAGAAGATCACGGCTACCACTGTATGCAGTGTGCACTATTACAGTGATTTTCAGCATCCCCAGTAGCCTTCTGGAGATCAGATATGAATGCCTACAGCAAGCCAAGCTGACCAATGTAAGTTTGCAAAAAATATCATTCCTGGAGTTGTGCTTTTAATATTTTGGGTTTAAATGCGCTTTAACTATCCAGCATGCAACAAAAACTCCAAAATGTATTTTTTTAGTGGATTGACACTTTTAAGTGCCAGTCCGACTGACCCCATTAGTCATAAGCAGCCTCTGCGACCTCTTTCTATATACACAGCAATGTGTCACAGCAGCTGCTGGTCCCATGTTTTGTGTCACTTGACATGTACTAGACGCAGCGATATCCCTTCCAGAGCATTGCCGGAGTCTCTGGCAGGGGAACCATCTCTTTAGAATGGTCAAGGTCTGCAGCCTGCGCTATTAGGATTGTAGCAGCACCATGTAATCTCATATA